AACATGAATAGACTCTTCTACCACTAAAGTTCTTTTATTAAATACCCAATAAGCTTTAGAATTTAAGGAATAACCCAGAAAAATTCCCATATCACTTTTAGCATCAAATTTGTCTTTATCGTTGTTTAAAACAAAACATTTGCATCCAAAAGGATGAAAATAACTAATGCTAGACTTTTTATTTTTGAAAATTTCATATGGAGTTTTCTTTAAAATGGGCTTAATCATTACTCAGTTTATAACATAACAAGAGGTATTTGTGGCTTCCGCCCATAAATATTTTGGCAAATTATTTTCACAAAGCATGGTTCTAGCCATTTCTTCTAAAGTTCAAATTTTCCTCTCAACAACTCCATTTTGTTGAGGTGTTCTAGGCGCTGAAAAATTATGACTAATCCCATTTGAATTACAAAAATCAATAAATCCAAGATTTTCAAATTATGTACCATGATCACTCCTAACACTTGAAATAGAGTAACCTTTTTCATTTTGGATTACTTTTGAAAATGTGATGAATTTTTCTAATGCTTCATCTTTAGTACATAAAAATAGAACCCAAGTATATCTAGAGTAGTCATCTACCAATACAAAGCAATATTATTTTCCACCCAAGCTAGTAGTCCTAATTGGCCCAAAAAGATCTATATGGATCAATTATAACAATCTACTAGTTGATACATCATTAATGGATTTAAAGGAAACTTTCTTTTGTTTTCCTTTTGAGCATGCATCACAGATTTTATCTTTGTCAAATTTTAGCTTTGGCAACCCTCTTACTAATTCTCCTTGAATTAGTCTTTGTAAAACATTCATGCTTGTATGTCCTAGTCTTCTATGCCATAACCAACTATCATGTTCATCCTTAGCACAATATATATGTTTCCTATTCTATAACCAATAAGCATAATCCGATTAGATGCATTGTCAACAATTTTACAACCATTTGTTTCAAATAATACATTGTATCCTTTATCACATAATTGACTAATACTCAATAGATTATGTTTTAACCCATTGACATATAATACTTTTTCTATTTGTATGGAAAATGTATTACCTATAGTACCTATACCTTCAATGTAACCTTTTGAGTTGTCACCAAAGGTTACAAATCGTCCATTTTTGTAGTTAAGCTCTATAAATCGGCTCTTGTCTTCAGTCATGTATCTTGAGAATCCACTATCAAGGAACCATGAATTTGAACTTGTATTTTGTGCCTTGTAGCAATACTCCTTTTCCTACAAACATAGATTAATTTCTAAATTTTGGTACCCAAATTCTTTTGGGTCTATATTCATTAGTCTATAAAATTCTAGTCCCCTTGGGTATCCATTTGTGTATGATATCCTTATCTTTAGTAGTAATGAGTTCTTTAGGAACCCATATACTTCTAACGATTTTTCCATTAGAGGTTCTTTGGGGACCTCTATGATTGTAAGATTTAAAATTCTTTCTAATATAGTTGGATTTTGAACTTTCTCCTTTTTCAAAATGTTTTGGTCCAACTTTATTGAAAGAAGTTTTAAGATCATCAATTTCTTTTTTATGATCATCGTTGACTTTTGAAAGTAAATTATGCAAATCAGAATTTTTCTTTTCAAAATCTTTGATTTTGATTTGCAATTAATTAATTTTACTTTTAAGATCATTGTTGGTCTTAGATATGATATTATTTTCATTTTTCAATTTTGAAATATCTTTATTGTATTTTAAAAACAATTTCTCATAATCCGAAGCCAACCCAGTATATTCCTCTACTAACTCATCAAAAGAATAATCTTCGAAATCAAATGAGTTAGATGTTACCTGAGAATCTTCCTCGGTGGCCATCAAGCACATGTTCACTACTTCTTGTTCCTCTTTATTTGATGATTAATCATCATCACTCCAAGTAGCCACGTGTGCCTTGTGCCTCTTCTTTGATTGACCATTCTTCTTTAATTACGGGCAATCGTATTTGACATGCCCGTGCTTTTTGCATTCGTAGCAAATGATCGAGTCCTTCTCATTTGGTTCATTTTTGAAGCCTTAATTTTTTTTTGAATTTTCTTCCTCTGTTGGGCTTCATTAATTTTATGAACCTTTGGCGAATAATGCCATCTCTTCATTATCGTCGTCATCATCAGAATCACTCTCAACTTTTGTGGATTTGAGAGCAAGTCCAACATTCTTCTTTTTCTCCATCTCCTTCTTTGTCTCATTCTTGTTTTTGAGGTCTACCTCATCTTGAATCATCATTTCATGAGTGAGGAGAGAACCAATGAGTTCATCGAGAGTTAAAGACTTTAAGTTTTTAGCTTCGATGATCCCTGTCTTCTTTGATTGCCAAGCTTTTGGAAGAGAATAAATTATTTCCTCACAAGCTTCTCATTAGGGATTACTTCTCCAAATGCTTTAAGGTTGTTGTCAATCATGGAAAATCTATCCTTCATAGCTTTGATGTCTTCATCCGCTTTCATCCTGAAATTTTCATAGCTATGAGTAAGAAGACTAATTTTGGATTCTTTTACCTCGTTGGTGCCTTCATGAGTAACTTGTAGTTTATCCCATATTTTCTTGGCGGTTGTACAAGATGAAACTCTCTCATATTCATCTGGTCCAATTGCAAAGAAAAGAATATGGATAGCTTTTGAGTTGAGCTGGAACATTCTCGTCTCTTTATCACTCCACGTATTTGGGTTTGTGGATGGTTCAGAGTATCCATTCACCACGATCTTCCATGCTCCCATGTCACTAGCTTGAATGAAGTACCTCATTCTATTATTCCAATAAGCATATTTTGCTCCATTGAAGAAATGAGGCTTGTTGACGGGCAATGGCTTAAGAGCGAAGTCAAAGTTTGATGTAGAGGCCATTGATGACTTGAATATCGATATAACTCTTCCCGAATCGACTCAAGAGGGGGTAAAACCTTCAGATGAGTGTAGCTCTGATACCAATTGTTGAGTTAATCGATTGGATAAATTGGTCAAGAGGGGGTGAATTGGCAATAAAAATTTCGGTGGAAGCTTTTGCAGAAAATTGAAAAGATTTGCATAACGATTTAGAGTGGTTCAACTTTCTCAAACAAAGTCTACGTCCACTACCTTAGCTATCCATACTAAGGATTTTCCACAAATTCTCTAATTTGTATTTCTTTTGAGGACAAAGAGTAACCTTATAAATCCCTAAAGAATTATACCCCAAATTCTTGAGAACACTCTCTCCCAAAGATAAAATTACAAATTTTGCAAACTTACAGAAAAACCTCTCAAGGTAAGATCTTTGCACAATTCTAGAATAAAGAAAGAACACTCAAGAATGAATACAATTGAGAACAAATGGTATTCTTGAAAGAAAAATGAATATTGGATGGAAAATAAGCTTGAATTGCTCAAACAAATAAGTTTAAGGCTTTCTCTTTGATTCTCTCTCAATTCTTGTTTCTTGTTTTTGATCAATGGCTTCTGAGCTTGTTTAAATACACCTTGGATTGATTCTGAATGTTGGTGATCATTGGTGAAGTCAATAGAGCCGTTATAGTGTGAATACTATTTAAAAATTCTGTTGGGAGCGTAGGTGTATCGATACATTATCAAAGTGTATCGATACACTCAGTGTAAAATTAAAAAATTTCTACCGTTATTTGACCAAGTGTATCGATACATCCCAGGTGTATCGGTACACTAATTGCATTCGATGTTTCTCAGAGCCTGGAGTGTATCGGTACATCGTCTATGTATCGGTATACTAATTACATTCAAAATATGGATGTATCGGTACATACAAGAGTGTATCGGTACATCCTTTTATAAAACTTATTTTTGGCTTGAGTAAGGTTTGAAATACTTTGTAAAAATTGTTTCAAAAATATTTTAAGATTAAAACACGATTTTACACTTAAGTAAGGATTAAAATTGACATTTGAAAACTTGGAGTAATATCTTTGATATTCGAATAATTTAATCGAATATATAATTTTGAATCGAGTATAAATTCTTAAAATTCAATAGTACTTTATTTGTTATATCGAAATATTAAAATATTTTCAACACTTATGATAAAGGATGTGGCAGTAGATGATGATGATAATGATTGATAGTAGTTGTCCTACAAACATTCCTAGCAGCAATTGACTAGGCAAACTCGATAATCGGCTTTAGCCAGCCCTTCTTATAGCAATGAGAAGGCAAACTAGAGTGTGAAGATCTCTCTCACAAATAACTTGAAAGAACTTAATGAAAAGAATGCTTTGAAAGCACAAGACAATCAATACTTGTAAAAATGAACTCTCATTGTATTATTAATCAAAGAATTATGCCTTTTCAAAGTTGAATGAAGCCTCCTTTATATAGGTGAGGAGTTCGTGTTGTAACATAACTAATGAATAAAGATAATGTTTTGATTCTATCATAATTCCTAATAAAATAATAATAAACTAAGAATAATGTTTTAATTCAATCTTATTCTTAATAAAATAATAAATCTAATCCTAAAAGATAATGCATCATCCTATATTAAATTATATTACAAATAATCAATAAAAATATTGAAAATTAGTAATATTTATGAAATCTTGTATTAATCCCGTATAGGAATTTTTGCATGCGTTGTCTTCAATAAAATGGACGTATCTTGAGTTCCCGATATCAGATTAATGCGATTCAAAAACCTTTGGAAAGCTAAGAGACAGAAAGTCATATCTCTAGGGTAAATGTTGACTGAATAAGATCATGATCTCATTCAAAAAGTAATCGTAAGTCTGCTGTTCTGTTATTGTTCTTTTCCAAGGCTTGTTCGTGTAGATCAATTGGAAGTGTTAGTCAATCTTCCTTTAATGTGAGTTTTGCGATACATGTATCACCTTATGTACTACATTCAACATAGTGATAGTATTAATGCTATAAATACCTCAAAAAGCAATTGAACCTTAATTTAAACACTCGATATTGAATAAAGAAACCTTACATTTATAATTGAATCAAGGAAAATAGGAATTAAGCAAACCCTAATAACGTAAAATGACTGCCAAAGGGCAACAACAGGTTCAAAGGCATGGCTGGCGGGTACTGGCTTTAGGACAAGCGAATAGAATGTCTGACCACTTCTAAAGTTTGACGCCCGTAAGCGCGGACGACTCACTAGGAGACAGTACTGGTTTGTCAGCATGTGGACCTGGCTGTTGAATCAAGTAGTATTTTTATAAATTTATTATATTTTCAAATATATATATATAATCTATGATGAAATCATAGTGTCTCTAATATCTTAAAAAAGTTGTTAAGACTTAATAATCAAAATTAACTACATGATATAGGTGATTCAATATTTAAATTCTATTATTCCTAATCACCCTAGAATAATAAAAAATTATTCTTTTTTACCTATAGTTATAAAGATTACAATTGTGAACCAAAATTTCAAAACTCCTTTTTACTATTAAATCAAGATCTTAAATTATTATTTATCTTTCTAATTTTTTTCTTTGGATAGGCCAGTAAATTTGGATTACTGTTTGCAGAAAGCTGGTCAGAATATTCAGCAATGTGGGACTAAATGATAAACAAGTGAAAACATAAGCCACCAAAATCATGTTGAAAATTAATCTCACACTACACCAAAAATGTTCTACAACGGCGTTTTGAGAGTAAACACCACTAACTTTAAATATATAGTAATGTTTACATTCTAAACGTTACAAAATGGTAACTTTAGCGGCATACTACTTTATTGCAGCATTTTTTCAAAAAATTGCTACTATAGATGAACCTTATTGCGGCGTTTATATGAAAACGCCCCTAAAGTACTACTCTATTGTGGTGTTTTATACAAACGCCACAATATGATTCATTTATAGTGGCGTTTTTTCAACAAAAGCCGCAACAGAGTAGTACTTTAGTGACATTTTTTCAACAAACACCGCAAATTTTAAATGTTTTATCTCCCTATCCCTTCATCCCGATCTTACCTTTTATTTTCCTTGACATTTTTTTCTCCTCGCCGTTTGCAAAGACCCAACAAATATGTTGTTGATTAAAGCCGTTTGACGCCGTCGTGACATTCACCGCATGCCCATCACAATTCCGTAGTTTTTCCCAATATCACTGCCACTGTCGAAGCCGTCGTGGCCTCTCTATCACCGTCGAGGTAATTTTTAAATTCCAAAATTTGAATGGCATTCGTGTTTTCAAGCTCGAAATCATTACTCGCCCCCAGGTAAACATAACATAGAAAACCAGAAAAAGGCTTAGAATCACTTAAACTTTGATTTGTGTAGCCATGGAAGTTGGAATTGTTATAGTTACAGGTTTAAGTTACAAGTGCCACTTATTTTTTAAATTTAAACGAATGTTTGTGCAGACCTTGACTGTAGATACCCGGAAACCTGCGTTTAGGTGGTTGGGGCTGAGAGGGAAATCAATTGTTATTAATGAGTCCAAGAAAAGGATGTTCGGAACTGATGCCACAAACAAGGTTGATTCTTCAAATGATCAGAATTCTAACCAGTGCATTAAGTGGAAAAAGCATGAAAAAGTTGAAATTTTGGCTGATACAAATCGTTTGGAGGACTGGAAACAAGGTTCAAAGAGCTATCACTTTGGTCCTTTTGCACCTATAACCTTGACCAGGATTTGTAACTCTGAGAATGATGCCCAACCGGTTCATGACTAGGAGAACCTTTCTTCTACATACCGCCCTCAGTATCACAACCAAGGTAAGGTATAAGTTGCATTCTCCACTATACACAACTGTATATTAGTTTCTTTAATCGTATTAAGTGCTTTTCGCTGTATTGTTAACCCCAACAAATAAGTGTTGTTTCGATTAGGTTCATGTAATGTCATTTCGAATCTAGATAATATTCGATTTGGTTCAATATAAATTTAGTTTGTCTATGGTAAGTAAGGTCGACTTAGGTATCAAGTATGATCAATATTACATCAGTTAATTTTTTGGTTGAGTTAATTTGAGATCTTTTAGTCAATTCAGTTTGAATTGAGCATTAGTCTCACTGTATTATAAAGATGGATAATACAAAAGGTTGTAGCTAAATAATAGTATAGTAATATTGAACAATTAAATTATTATCAAATGTAGTGGCTAACTAATAATATAATACACAACGAATAAAATGATTTTAGTTGTTAAAGAGATGATTGTTATATCTAAAGGTTCTATGTTTGAGCATCAACGACTTTAGGCTATTTGAGCAATTATTATCAAATGATTAGGAGTTTTTAGAACATATTTTACCACTTGTAATTACCCTATATAAATAAATAAATAAACTATTAATATAATACAAAAAGAAGAATAAGTTGATGTAAAATTTGATTTAGTTCAATTTATTTTGAATTTCAGATTAAGTTTGAGTGTATCTGTAACACCCCAACCTATACTCGACCCGAGTACGAGTCCGAGGTGCCAAATTGACTTTTCAAAACTTGTACATTCATAAAAACTATATGAAACTTTAAAATTTTATTAACACAAAAACCATATTTACATATCCGAGTTCGACACATTACAAAATTGATCAGAACATGCGTAAATTACCTTTTTGTACATGCCAAAACTTTTAACTCAACAAAACACATATTATTAATTTACTTCTGATATGATCCTTGAGTGAAGATATGTTACTCCGCCAATCCTAAGGTTGATCTTGTTTTTCGGTACCTACGTGTAAATCACTTACACGCTAAGTCATAGACTTAGTGAGGCATAGAATAATATAATAATGCATTTCCTATGAATATGAACATGCAAGTAATTACTCATGTAATAATCATATAATAAAATTAATCATGTCACACATATGATACAATATAACAATAATAATATAGGAGCATATATTCATATAAATACATTTGATATCCCTTATAGGCCCATGTATATTCATGAGAACTTAAGGTATGCGAGTACATTGATGTTATGCACTATGCTATTACCATAACTCATATGGGGTCCCACTAAGGGCATGTAAAATTTGTCCCGAAGGACCTCTGTATATGTCCCGAAGGACCTCTGTATATGTCCCGAATGACCTACGAAACCCTCGACTCTTGGCATGCCAACTATACCCCTAGCTCTCATATCACATAACATGGGCATTATTGTTATTATTCATATATTCATGTATTCATATCATTACTCATGTATTCACATATGTCTTTTATTTTATCACATAACACATGTACATATAATTATCTATTTTGTATCATATAACATATGCACTTTCATCTATTCATATGAATCATATAACATTTAACAATTACTATAAACATATATATAACATATCTGACTTATGCATATATTTATAGTAACCATCATGTATGCATGTTCATAATGATTATGCTATAACTACTAATCATAGGAATAGACTTATCACAAGTCATAATTCCTTTGAACTATATCTCTAGTATGCACTCACCTTGGCTTCACTGACTATTAATTATTCCTATGACATCCTTCTTTTCGATCGAATCCTAATTCGATGATCGTTCCAAAGCTTGCTCAGGCTCGGTATCTACATAATCATACATAGATCCATATCAATATTCTAATTGCTATATTCTAATATTTTCATTCCTTAAACTAAAAGAAAGACTACTTTTATCTTTTATTTACGGTAGGTATTGGTACACTCTGTAGTGTATCGATACATTCCTTAACATGTGTATTGATACACTACCTATGTATCGATACACAAATTACATTCGATGTTTTTATTTTAAGGGGTGTATCGATACACTTTGAATAATTTCTGGAAATTCACCCTTGGTGTCTCGGTACATGTTGAATGTGTACCGATACACACTAGCCCAAAATTCACATTTTATGCACGAAAATCACTCAACTTAGCTCAATTGTGCCATATTTCAACCCCTTTCATATCCTTAACTTACATACACCTACTTAAACCACTTAATACCCATTTATTACATCTTAAACCTCAAAATCCTATCCATCCCTGTGATTCAAGAATTAAACTCAATTTTTCAACATGTTCTAAATCCAATTCTAACACCTCATATCTCTTAATTCATTCATTGACAAGTCAAATTTAATCTCAAATTCCACTTATCAACTCTATTCCAAGTTTTCATTCAAAAACTCTTAGTCTTTAATCTCTCCTAACTCCTTCATCTTATGATTTTAAGACAATCTAATCTTTTCTTAAGCTTATGTATCACCTGAGGATCATAACCTAACTTTAAATTCAATAAATAATCAACAAACAAAGAGCTCACCTTTTTCCTTAAGGCTCACGGTTGAAGAAGAGAGTTCTCTAGAAAGCTTTCTTTTTCCCCTTCATCTCCCATGTGTAGCCCATATATATCCCCACTTAATAATTATCTTTCTATCAAATTACCATTTTGCCCTTCCATATTTCCTTCTTTAATATTTAATTCTATACCAAATTTACAATATAAGTCCCCAAACTTTTCAATTTATCTACTTTGACCAACAAATTATGAAATATTTCAATTTAGTAACCAAACTGATATTGAGGATGTTACAGTGTCATATTTGAATTTATATTAAGTTTTGGACCAAATAAACTGATTGGGTTCTAGTTTGCCATGTGTATTTGCACTCGACACTTTTGAGTTGTTTATCTCTTACTGTGGTATGAGTGCCATTTATACTTGCCTCTTAAGCATGGTAGACTCATCTGAATCAGGTAGCCTCTACTCACAATATTAATATATAACCTTAGTGGAAACTTCCCACCTATCCCTGATACATTCTTAATTCTCTGACTATGTTACATGTCAGTCTAGCTGCAGCTGAAAAAATGTAATTTCTATGTCAAAGTTTCTGTGGATATTATTAGCTACATGGATGAAAGGTTCCCATTAATGCAATATTGCTATTTAAATTTCATGTTTAAGTTGGCAGCATAAACTCTGCTTCAAGTTATGGTATTTATTATTATAGAGGTCACTTTCTGATTCTTTTTTAGACCAATGTGGTTGCCTCTGGGGTCTTGGTGGTGAGGTTTTTGCATGGGATATTGAAGCTGCGGTTACTCCACTGTCAAAGTTCAGTGATGTAACGGAAGATGATTGTTCCAACGGTATCAATGGTTTTGGAAATTCATTATCAGTATCAAGTTTGCGAACAATTAGTTTGAGTAATAGCATTGTTGCACGCACAACCCAGTGTCATGGATATGTCCCCATCACTGCCAAAGGCCATAAAGAATCAGTCTACGCATTAGCAATGAATGATAGTGGAACCCTTTTTGTCTCTGGTGGAACTGAGAAGGTTTTTTTTACTTCTTACCGAATTCAAATGTTCTGATAATTACATGTTTCTTTCCTCTTATAACATATTGCATGTGTAGATCATATACTTGCCTATTTTGGTCATTTGTTATCATTTGTTCTTTTCATTTAATTACTTCATCAACAATCTTAGCATCCTGCCTCATTTTCATATAGGTTGTGCGAGTTTGGGACCCTAGAACTGGTTCTAAGACTATGAAGCTGAGAGGGCTTACAGATAACATTAGGGCTCTGCTTCTGGATTATACTGGCAGGTTGGTGCAATGAATTCAGCCCCTGCCAGTTCTGAGTTAAAAATAAAATTAACTTGATCTTAGTTGGAAGTTTACGGCTATGGAGCTTTAGCATGTGCTATAACTTATACGATACATATATCTTTAGCTGGTAGGGTAGTATCTCTCTCAATTTTGAAATTTATAATACTTGTAATGACTGGTTTGTTTATAATTCCAGGTTTTGAAATTTTTAATGGAAATAATAGTTTAAGTGCCCTTCATGGTATGTTTAAGTTTTTGGGTTCAAGTTACAAATTTCTTTTGTTTTATATTATACAACAAGGTTTTGTTAATTTGTTTCGTTCTGGGTTCAAGTTAAAAACTTCTTTTGTTTTATTTTTCATTTTCACCGACACTTGTTGTAACACCCCAACCCGTACCCGACCCGAATACGAGTTTTGCGTGTCACATTAACTTTTCAAAATATGTACATTCATAAAAATTATACGAAACTTTAAATTTTTATTAAAACAAAGCCATATTTACATAATTAAGTTCGACACATTACAAAATCGATCAGAGCATACGTAAATTACACTTTTGTACATGCCATAACTTTTGACTCAACAAAATACATACTATGAATTTACTTCTGATCTGATCTTTGGGTGAAGATATGTTGTTCTGCCAATCATAAGGCTGATCCTCTTGCTTTCTTATACCTACGTGTAAATCACTTACATGTTAAGTCATCGACTTAGTGAGGCATAAACTTATAAATATGAACATGCAACATAATATTCAAATAAAATAATCACATTACATATGATTCATAATAAATAATAATAATATGCTAACATATAATGCAATACATACACTTTTTATATTCTTTGTAAGCCCATGTATATGCTGAGAACTTAAGGTATGCAAGTATATGGAGGTTCTGTATGTATGCTGTCACCACAACTCATATAAGGTTCCACTAAGTGGCATATAAAATCTGTATCCCGAAGGACCTATCCATATGTTCCGAAGAACATAGGTAATTGTCCATATGTCCCGAAAGACATAGGTAATACTGTCCATATGTCCCAAAGGACATAGGTAACCCTCAACTCTTGGCATGTCAACTATACCTTTAGCCCTCATGACACATAACATGAGCATTATTATTATTTATATCATTTCACATATTCATATGTACCTGTCTCTTTTCATATGATTTCATATTCATATTTCACTTAGCTTATAACACTTCTCATGTGTTTATATGACATGTATATCATTGCCATCTCTTATTTATATATTTTTTCTATAAATCACATATACCACATAACATATTACCTCTTACATCCTTTCTTATATGTTCACAATATCATATCATATAATTCATAGTTTAGTATCACATAACTTAACTTATATCATATTATCATGTGTTCGTATATATCATGGACACTTCACATAAACATGTATTCTCATATAGCTCCACAGATCTTTAGCATATAACTTATCTTATATGTTCATATCATCACTTTATATTCAAGTTTCCTAATTGATATACTATTCCCATTTCATTATATAATTTAATATTATTTAGTTTTCTTTAATTCTCCTGAAATCATATAACTCTATTATACTAATTCTCATAATTAATCATATTCTCCTATTATTACATACTTTATCTCATAATCATATATTCACATAGTATTATATTTCATTATCATATGACTCATATTTGTTCTCTTATTACTCTTCATAGACATATATTTTCATTTCCATATATCGCATAGATCTTATCACATGACTTATCTTTTATACTCACATAAACCACATAGCACATACAATAACATATCAACTCATATAATCAAGCATACATACATTTCATATCATTCACATACTTATAATCAAGACTTCATGCACTATAACTATCGAAAATAGACTTATCACAAGTCCAATTTCCATATAATCCTATAAAATAAGATGCACTCACCTTGGCCTCACTTGCTATCAATTACTCCTATGACTTCCTTTTTTCAATCGAATCCTAACTTGATGGTCATTCCGGAACTTTCTTACACTCGATGTATACATAATCATACATTATACATATCAGTATTCTAAATAGCATACTCTGATTTCTCATATCTTAAACTGAAGGAAGAATCTATTTTCATTTTCCTTTTGAAATGGTATCGGTGTCCCCTATAGGGTATCGATACTACCCCTAGCTGAGGGTACCAAGACGGGTATCGGTACCGAAATTACATTCGATATTTCCCTGGTATCGATACCTCCCTTATGGTATTGATACCTATGGTATCGGTACCACCTTCCCAGGAATCGATACCCTTTGAATGCCTTCATTATTTTTACTCTTGAGACATCGGTACCTGATGAACGGGTACCGATACCCATTGCTCAAAAATCACTTTTTAAACCCGAAATTTACTTCATTCTAACTCAAACCCTTCATAACTTAGCTCCTTTAATACCCTTAACTCAAGGATACATACTCAATCAAATTCCTAGACATTTAACACATCTTTATCCTCAAAATCTCATACTCCTTATGAAATTCAAGAATCATACCAAATTTTCTACTTGTTCTAAATTCAATTCTATCACTTCATATCTCTTAATTCAACCATTGACAAGTCAAATTTAGTTTCAAAATCCACTTATCAACTCTATCCTAGAATTTCATTTAAAAACTCATTATCTTTAATCTCTCCCAATTCTTTCATCTTATGGTTTTAAGATAACTTAAGCTTTCCTTAAGCTTAAGTATCACCTAAGGATCATAAACCCAACTTGAATTCAACAAATAACCAACAAACAAGGAAACTCACCTTTGCCTTTGGGTTTCACGGTGAAGAGAAAGAATGAAGAGTTTTCTAGAGACTTTTTCTTTAACCCTCATTTCTCACGTGTATATATATATCCTCCTTATGCATTTTAATTCATTTTTAGGTCAAATGACCATTTTACCTTTCCATTTCTCCTTATTTGATATTTAATCCTATACAAACTTCTCAATATAAGTCCCCAAACTTTTCAATTTATCTACTTTAACCAACAAATTCTGAAATATTTCAATTTAGTCACTAACCCTATATTGAGGATGTTACAAATCTCCCCTCCTTTAAGAAAATTCGTCCTCGAATTTTCACTACACTAATAGATGAAGATACTATCTACACATCTCTTATTCATATTCACATATTACCTCTTCAATTAATCTCTCGTGTTATCATAACCTGACTTCCATTACTTTAATTCTTCCATTACCTTTTCCTTTATACATCCATATCATTTAAACATAACACACATGTTCTTTACTACTTGAACCAAGAGAAAATATTCCTTCAATTATATTTGAAACTTCCTTATTTGATTAAACAATCTTAAAGCATACTTTTTCCATATCAACCTTAAGTTTTTATTATAGATGATTAAGACATAATTTTTCCGAAATTAAACAATCTTTCTACAACACTTTACACCTTTTTTTTACTTCTATATCAACTTATAATCCATACTTCCGTATAACCCTTGCCATATTGGTTCTTTTAAATTCCCTTTTTATTGTCTTAAACTTTCCTGTCACTTCTCAACTTCCGTCAACATACCAATCCTTTAACTCTAATACTCTCACTATCACATTACTTGTCAAACTAGAGTCTAAATCTTCGTCAAACTCTTCATATATATATATATATATATTCTTTCCAGTCAAAATAACTCATCCTCCATTTACTCAACTTATCAAACCTTTATTCTTACGCATACATAATACAATTTTTCTTGATTCAAAATCAAGCATTTCATCTATCTTTGTCTTCTAAACTGATCACTGATGTACATATTCTTAAATTTTCCCAAAACAATATGCTCTTTTAATATTTTCCTGATAACATCTATCCCCTATACTCTATTGCAGAACGAAGAAGATCCTCTAACACTATAATTTCCAATCCGTCTGAAATTATTAGTGTTACCATTTTTCTCCACAATCAACATTTGCATGATAGCGATTTAACCCATCCATTCCCAATATTACTTCAAATCCCTTACAGAGTAATTTCATCGAATTAGCAGAGAATTCAATCCTCTAAATCTAAATGGAATACTCTCGACATATTTTATTTATTCAAGCACTACGCCCTACTAGCAACTTCTAATTGAATTCTCAATTCTTTCACTAATTTACTACTATTATATAAGTATACAAGCCCCAGATCAATCAACCTCATAACACATTTATCATACAATAGAGAAGTACATGCGATTATTTCTGGATCATCCTGATCTTAATTGGTCTTGAGGTTATAAACTCGAGCAGTAGAGTGAATTTCTTGCTGAGTAGAGGATTCTGGTTGACTTCTGCCTCTTCCTCTTTAAGACATCGAAGCAGATCGTTCCAGCTGTACAGGCTCTCCTATTTCCAATGGATAATCTTTCATGAAATGTCCTATTTCCCCACATCAGAAACAAGCTCCAGATTTAACTCTACATGTCCCACCGTGATATCTTCCACAAGTCTAACAGTGTCTCTGCTATGCTCTTCAATCACCAGACCCTACTGATTGAGTCTGCCTATCTCTGATCTAATTTGATCCTATAGTAGAGGATACCACCGATTTAGATCTTGTCTGATATTGAAAACCAATATCTCTGCCCCTCTTAGGTGGTGCTAAACTTGATGAAGCCCCAGTTCTTTTAGACGGTTGGGCTCTTTGCTCCCCAAACCGTTCATTCTGAGCTCTTTCTAGAGCTTTAACACGATTTACTACCTTTTGAAATGAGGACAAGTTTAGTACGATCAACATTTCCTTCAACCTCGGGCGCAATCCTTCCACAAACTATTCATACGCATCTAATCAACTCAGCCACAAAACGACTTAACTTGTTGAACTCGCACTCGTATTCATACACAATGCGGTTCATTTGCTTCAAGGTCAAGAATTCTTGCTTCATTTGCTTGATGAATTGATCTCCTATATACTTGTACTTAAATTCTTCAAGAAACAGAGACCATGTTATTTGATTACTTGATATACTTATAGTAACATTCGTCCACC